ACTGGCCAGCTTAGTTTAAACAAGAATTGCTTGGCAAGAGCATTCCAGAATACGCTATCCTCTCGCACACATGGGGAGCGGATACAGATGAAGTCAACTTCCAAAATCTGATGGATGGTACTGGGAGGGACAAGCCTGGCTATAAGAAGATCTACGTCTGCGAGAAAGGGCCAGGCTCGATGGCTTACGTTACTTTTGGGTAGATACTTGTTGCATCGACAAATCGAATAGTACTGAGCTTGCAGAGGCTATCAATTCCATGTTTCGCTGGTACAAAGATTCAGCCAAATGCTACGCGTACTTGTCGGATGTCTCATCAAATGACTACGGCCAGGCCAACCCCTCTTCGCAGTCTTGGCTACTAGCTTTCCAAAAAAGTCGATGGTTTACACGCGGCTGGACGCTTCAAGAACTCATTGCTCCACCATCGGTTCAATTCTTTTGCTCGAACGGAAAACTACTCCGCCACAAGGAATCTTTGCAGCAACAACTCCATGAAATAACTGGAATTGAGACCTCGGCTTTTCGAGGAGAGTATTTGTCTGAGTTTAGTGTTGACCAGCGAATGTCATGGGCAAGAAATCGCGAGACTAAGCGGGAAGAAGATAAGGCTTACTCGTTACTTGGTATTTTTAATATTTACATGCCCCTCATTTATGGCGAAGGAGCAAACAATGCGTTTAGGAGACTTCAAGAGGAAATTGAAAAGCGACCAGATAAACACCCCCGTGACGAATTATCGACTGTTTCAACGGCTACTTTTAACTCCATCAAACGATCAAAGACTTCACATCACCAGTCTCCCGTTACTTCTTGTCATTATCCAAATTTCCCAGCTCTTGACCCACTATTCCCCTCCCAATATTCCATAGACAACATCGACGCTACCACGAAACAATCGATAGTAGACCAACTATATTTTACTAAAATTGACGAGCGTCTCACAAGCTTGACAGCGGCCCAAGGGAAAACTTGCCGCTGGTTCCTCGCCAAATCTAAATATACGACCTGGAATGATGTAACAAAAAAGCAATATCATGGCGGCTTCCTTTGGATCAAGGGGAATCCTGGGACTGAAAAGTCGACGCTAATGAAACTTCTTTTCCAGGAGGCCAAGCTCAATGCAAAAAGCAATGCTTCACAGATCACTTTGTCGTTCTTCTTCCTTGCACGGGGTACTGTCGAGGAAAAAACTACCACTGGTCTACATCGCTCTCTTCTCCACCAGCTTTTTGAGAAAGCGGTGGAGTTAAAAGACAGTTTGGAGTGGATGACAGCCGATGGTGCGAGGGGCATTGAACGAAATGGATGGAATGAGGAAGCGATGAAGCAAACATTAATGCATGCTGTACCAAAGCTTAAAGATCAAGCATTGATGATATTTGTTGATGCATTGGACGAATGCGACCAAAATCAGGCTAGAGCGATGGTTTGCGTTTTTGAGGATCTATGCGAGACTGCTGAAAGTTCACAGGTTCGGCTACAGATATGCTTCTCTAGTCGACATTATCCGAATATAGTTATCCAGAAGGGCCTAGAGATGACTTTGGAAGATGAATCTGGGCACATGGAAGATATCAAACACTATATCAAGTCGAAACTGAGGCTAGGCAAGTTGAAGCAAGCCGAGGCACTTCGGTCCGAGATTCTAGAGAAATCCTCTAGCATCTTCCTCTGTATCGTTTTGGTTCTCGATATTCTCAATTCTGAATATCCCCTTTCTATCAATAAGATGCGTGCCCGCCTCAACCAAATACCGCCTGGGTTGACAGACTTGTTCGAGATGATTATCAAGCGAGATGGGGAGAAAGAACCTTGAACAGCTGCAACTTTACCTCAAATTCATTCTCTTTGCGACTCGTCCCCTCAAACCCCAAGAGTTATACTTTGCAATCCAAATTGGCCTTGACAAAGACTGCTCAGGTTATTGGGATCAGGAAGATGTGGATCCAGACCAAATAACCACTTTTGTAAGAAGTTCTTCCAAAGGCCTAGCCGAAGTTACGCGGAACAAAGCTTCCGAAGTTCAGTTCATCCACGAATCTGTTCGAGACTTTTTATTGGGTAAATACGAGAGCCAGTGGTCTGAGACTTCCGGTCACTTCGTCGGAAACGGCCACAAAAGCGTCACCTCCTACATAATCAAGTTTTTAGTAGAGAAAGGTGCTGGAATCAATTCAAAGGATATGAATGGTCGAACACCATTATCATGGGCTGCCAGTGAAGGGAACATAGTCGCAGTCAAGACGCTACTAGAGAAGGGCGCTGATATTAACTCCAGAGATGAAGCTTTTCAAACACCATTATCATTGGCTTTAAGTTGAGAATATAGTTTTTTGGCAGAAATATTGTTAGCGTATGGTGCTGAGACCTGATCGACAACCAACATGTATCGCCACGTGCTACTGATAGGATCTAAAGGGTTGTTGTCGAGCGGTTAAAGACGGGCGGTGAGGTTGAAGTTTCAAATACTTGCGTACTTTCTAGGAGAATTTGGAAGGTGTGAGTTTTGGGAGAAAAGATATGGATGAATTGTGGATACTTTGATATCATCCTGTATGAAACGTTTATTTCTTATTTATGTGTTTTCAATGAAGATCTATGGTCCAAAATAAAAAGCCAGAGGAGCTGCCAGTGGCGTGAATATGTATTTTACCTCTTCTCATTTGGGCAAATCACTGTAGCACAGAGAATCGTTCAATGTTGTTAGTCGCCATTACGCTCAGAAATTTAATCGACGAAATGGAAATGGAAAATATAACAGCAAATACATGCGAGGAGACTGAAGACAAGGAAGAGGAATTAAAGACTGAATTCTTATGGTCCTACAGACTTCCGGGTCGAATTTAGCGAAGCTGATATATATAAACGAGGATACTTGATCATGTCCTCAAAGGATTTCTTTATAATTTAAATAACGGTTATTTATATACCCACCAAAATGAGGATACTGGCCTTCTCTTGGGAGAACTAAGCGAGTTGGCATGTCTCTCCTATAGTGTGAGAGACTTAGTAAGTATAAAAAGAACTGGTTTTATAACAGAAATGGGTATATTTCATGGGAGGGAAATTGTCAGGGAAATTTCGGTAGCAATATTGGTATAAACAACCTGGGTACACTTTGCTCATGGCTCAATACCAAGGTCCAGGAATATGTCCGATGGAATTTTATAATTTCGTCAGAAAATTTTGTCGCTGTCTTCTCTTTCTTATTGTCATCATACTTATTTGCTTAGTTTTGATTTACCTATAAAACGGCAATATATTGTGAATGAATCAAAGGAAGAAGGGTAAGGGCATTGGTGAGACCAAGTACAAGCACTTGAGAGTACCACCGAGAGCCTTGAGTATCATTGATAGCTTGATTGGTTGGTTGATTCAAATTTAGATTTCAATTCAAACTGTTTCTCAAATTGGGGATAAAAGTACCACTTATATAATAATCTGAACAAAAGTTGTTGAAAAGGTAGATCACGTGAAGGTGCAAGTTGTGTGATGTATTTGATATTACTATAGAACTAAGATTGAACCTTGTATGCTATTTAAGCTTGAGATAGGGCGCTAGACCGTATTAGGCCTACGGCCCGCTTCGCGGTCCGTACGGCTCATACGGCCCTGGCTACTCTCAACAAAAGTTTTTTCCTTCCGTTTCCCCGAGAGTCATGTAACCGTTCAGGCATCACCCCCTTCCCATAATATGAGCTGTACTCGAATACAGAATCAAGTATAAGAAGTACGACACTTGTAAGGCAGTACTAGCTAAAAAAAGACTCAAATATTCAACAAAAGAAATGAGGAAAGTGCAGTCATTTCAATATCGATTGATATCAGAGCCCTTCTGGTATCTGGGAATGAATGGTGAGCCCAATATCAATATATCTTCAGAATCTAAATCGGTGGTTATAGATTTACTGTCCCCTTGGACAATTGTTGTCGTTGACTCGTTGATCATGAGATAACTTGAAGAAATGTTTTATAAAAAAATCAGATAAGATCGGAAGAAGGTGAGTTGTTAAAAGAACACATAAGAGAGTTACAGGAAGGGAAACGCGATCTATATATACCCCCTGAGAAATGATTAGGCTAACAGACATTTCCCCCTGCCGGGTTCAAGTGGAGTGCCGGAAAGGTATAAACGAATAGAAAAGTACTCCAAGCCAACAGGGAGTCCATTTATATAACGGCATAAAGAAACTTCTGTTCTTTTTCCAGACAGGTGTTTGGATGGCCCACTTTTCTCCTCAGTGGTTAAGCAAAGAAGTGTATCAAACACATCTCCCATCATGTAGCAAATACTACAGTAAACTAGTGGATCGGGAGTTCAGGAAAGTGAGAGCGCAGTGATATTTGCACCTATTCGCCTTCCTCATATCGGACGCTGGAATAGAACAGCTCACTTCTCGGACAAATTGGATGCTCTGTTCCACTGTCATTTCTAGACAACAACTGCCTGTTCATTAAAACGATTCAACAAGCGCATTGATTACTGCGATAATACCGAAAAAAGGTGGGATAGAGAAAGATCGATCCCGTCTCTGTGGATACCTCGACTCACACCTTGGACCAATCTGTTTGGAATCATCTAACTATAGAGACTGTATTTTCTTCTTGATCTCGAGGGAAGGGACGGCTATATCGTAACTCTCTGAACGAGCATAGATTTAGATCTCTAGAGGGGTGGGTAAAAGAGGCTTGGTGAGCATCTAAAAGTCAAGTTTGAGATTACAAACCATGCAAAAAAAAATGGATCGATCTGTAAACCATGGTTCAAACATTTCAGACTTTCTCCCTTACTCTAAACAACGCAAGAGAAAAAATACAAAAGGATTTGTGGCTACCATAAACCACACGCCAGAGATTATCCGGACTTAAGCCGAAACCCCCTGTCGCTTAAAAGGTTAAAAATCTCCCCAACAAAATAACCTACCTCATCAACACTATTAAAATGCGCCATTAATCAACCACAAGTGATATTTAAATACAAAAAAAGCAAAAGATAATGCAACATCCGTGAATCGAACACGAACCTCCACCTAGCTTTCAACCGTTTTACGGTGATTGGAAGGGTGGAATCCTAACCATTGGACCAATGAAGCTGGATAGCGAAAGCTGGAATTGCTTTGTTTGATGGATGAATGTTTTTAATCAAAATATATATTCATGCAAAGAGAAAAAATTGGATATGTGGACTTAGGTGGGGGTGGGTGGAGATTGCTTACAGTAATGAATGCCCTCAGACCTTTTGAGGGCTATGAAGCGAGAACTAAAGTGGGTATATTAAGACCTTTGGCTTGGATATGATATGAGAACTTGATACTAAATAAACACATTATAGCCCTTGGAGAATGCAAGGTTATGAGAAATCAATGTTCTTCTCTAAAAACACTATCGCAAATCTAATATAGCACGGAAAACATAGCATATATATTTTGGCATTGCTGTCGAATCCAAGGATCAAAGTGTGAGTGTGAAAGTGTGAGAGCTTGCTGTCGGTCTAGATACCTTTGCTATCAGAATTTCGGACCATGAATAACTCGGTTGCAACTGCAATTGTACCATAAAGGAAAAATTAGATTATATTCCAAGTGGTTACCAATGCATTACTTTGGGGATTGAGGGTGCCCACATAAGAGCTTTGTATTAGTGGTTTGTTATGAGGTTTACATCGTATCACTTCTAATAAACCAAGGGTTATATACCGATTATCTCTTCGATAATACTTCAGTTGGAACTCTTCATGATAGAAATTGTTGAATATCAATTCACTTAGTATCCCCATCTCCCCCGAGCCTCATCACTTGCTGTTCTCACAAATCCAAATCAGAAATTAGTATAAAAAAAGGTTTCTCCATCTGCAAAGGGAACATCCAATACACACTTATTAAAGAATTCTTCTCGCACTAGGAAGTCCAGAATCGCCCGGACGTCGTTCGGTTCAGATTCCGTGTAATAGCATAGAGAGGAGTGGATTTCGGGATTCTTTTCCATACATAGGTATATTTCGCAGCTGAAAAGGAAATATCGCTGTCTCTTTAAACTCTCGCTGTCATCAATTAACTACCAATACATATATATACTGTCAAAGGAATAAGAAACCTGCTGGAAACCATTGGAAAAAACCAGGCCAAAGGTTTCGTGTTCAATAGGAAGAACCTGCGGAAACATACAGTTACTCGGTGCACCCAGATCGCTCCCCTGAGAGAGTACGTTGTCGGTTATTGCTGATAATTCCTCTTACACTTTGAGATCAGGGTGATTTATATAGCTGTCACATAAACAACTCATCCTAAATTTTCACGCAGAAGATGAGGAATGATAAGATTATTAGTTTTCATATGTATTTAGGGGAGACTCTCATTCTGTATAAAAGAGACTACAATGACAGGAAAACCCCTTGAAGTATGAAAACAATGATGAAGCAGAAGACTTATGGCCAGGATCACAGTGTTCCTCGCAGCATGTGAATATACTAATTAATCTGCACAACTTTGCTGCTGCTATGCAATAAATGACGATTCGATGTTTGTTTCGGCGGCGTTAAGATTCGGGTATTATTGCTGTCGATTATGGATACCGGCCATTCATAAGAAAATTGTCGCAGCCAGACTTCTTTCAAGAAAATGAATGGGTGAGTGTCGAAGTCTTTCGAACCTCCGACCTACCATACCCAAATCGGTAAGTCATAATAGATCTCCTCCCTATTATTCCTCGCAGAAGATTGGTAAACGCAAGCCCCAACTTGAATGTAGTTTCGTGAGACATCGGAGTCAAACAACTATGGAGTTGGGGAGTAACATTCGGGCCTCCCAATATAGATTCATGATGTGAGACTATGCTGCAATAGGAACTGCGTGATTTGTTGAACGAAGATCCAATATACCTTTCTGGCACCGGTGGTAATTATAAAGAGCAGAAGATATGGGGTTTCGGACAGTGCGGATACAAAAAGCTCCCTATTATTTTAATTGTAGAATTATTTCACATTAGAAAAAGCGTTGCTCCATCATGGTAATTCAAGGAAGGGAAACTGGTGCAACATATCAACACTCCGATTCAAATCATTTGCAACCTGAAGAAGATGGTTCAATTTGGAATATGATTCCGATGTTCACGATAGTGGAAAGAGGCTTGGCTTTTTACTGTTATATTTTCCATATTCTACAATATGGTAGTAAGAAGCCCAGAATAATTCGGACAGCAATGAATAGTTAGCTTTTGTCGAAAAACAAGCGATACAAACGATCAAAGTGTTTTATCTAAATCACGATAGATATATAGAGCCCTTGATCTTGAATTTGCTATTTCTACCACGTATCCATGACAGGAGATCTGAATTGTGGCTTGCCATAAAAGGAGAGTGCTTGTAAAGATTATAAGCAGGGGAGAGAAGTTTGGTAGATTTGCAGCATAATGGATGGTTAATTGAGCTACGGAATCCCCCTTAACTTTGTCTTGCACCTCCTCTCTCCCTGGGAATGAAGATAATGATATCAAGCAACGGATGTTTAGAAATTCCATGGTAGTCAACACACTTGCATCATATTTGATTGAAATCCGCCCCTACCAAGTTTTTCCAGGGGATCACCGGGGATTCAATCATGAACTATTTCGTTCTCAACTAATTATATAACAATGTGACATGATTGGTACTATTGCATCCAACTGAGTCCACCATTCATATCTAGCTTGGACGAAATAAGAGAAGGGGCAACGACAATGGTAGCTAACGAGTTTTAGTGGATTTGTCACTGCCAATGGGGTTATGCGTTATTGACGAATGATATTGGTTTTCCGTCTTACAAAGATTCGTGAATGGAGAGGAACCATTTCTTAGAGAGCCAGTGCAGGAAAAAGTATGAGCTGAAATGGCAAAGTTTTGCGTAATGATAGCATGCAACTTGGTCCCAACTTCAGATGAAGGTCGTCATAACATGGTACTGATGAACCCATTATAGATTCCATATCGCCACCCTTTATAGTTTAGATTAAGTGAGAGCATCAAACAAGTACTGTGGACCTGGAAGTGATTGCGAGAAGAAGTAATAGCCAGCTTTGGTTTCGCAGAACCAGTTTGTTATCCAGGATTCAAGGAATTCGGGTTTCAAATCCTGACTGATGATATTTTCCGTCCCGCAGATGTTAAATTTTGGTGACGGCGCATCCCATTTTGGTCGGTCTGTGGAATCAACAAACGCCCCGAACCACGGGGTAAAGTTTAGTTCGGATGTTTCACAATCTTAATACCTATCTAACATTGCAATGTGAAGGATGCCGCGTGCTAACTTGCGGAACGTGAATCACTGTACGCCGAAAGAAATACAAGCCGCCAGTTCCATACAAATTCCGTGATAATTTGAGTGACGAACATAATCGGACGTATATGTGAGAGTGTAGATGGAGGTGCCACGAACCCTTGTGGGAAGTTGGAAAGTCAGGCGGTGGTAGTGGTGCCAACATAAATGGAGTAAAATCAGCAATTGACTAAGACTCATCTGCTTTTGCACCACGAAGACGTCCACAGGCGATTTGAAGAGACTGGTTTTTATTCAAGAAAAAGAGAATGTCTTTGTTGAGGTAAAATGTGAAGATAAAATTTGAAAAGTTTGCCAGTCACCAAACAGTTTTACCAAACAGTTTTATTACCGTGTTGTCCAGAATCTCCCGGCGCGACTCATGGATTCTTTCATCCACTGTGCAACGAGTAATGAAGACTTGGACTGGAGAATATATTTTCCCAAAAGTCAAGAACTATGATCATATTATGGATTGAAAAAGCTACCTTTGTCATTTTCCAAAATTTCAGAGAAAACTTTTACCTCCCCGGCAACATCAAAACGAAATATGCGTTTACCTACTACTTGATGAAAGTGGTATGCAAGATCTAGGATAAGTGTCAACTTACAATCTTGGAATGAAACTGCGACTCATAGATTCTTTGATAATGTGATAGAATTCTGTGAGCCACAACATATTTGGGAGTTGTTGCTCATCAAAGTTAATAGCTTATTGATGTGAACGAAGAAGGGACAAAGGGAAGAATGATTGAGATGGCCTAGATGTGCGGAGATGGAATAACAATCAGCCACAATACTGTGAAATCATCAAGTCAGCTACCAAAACTTTCACGATGAAATCTTCCAGCAAAAAAACGTATACTAGATATCTTTTACGATATCAGTCTGCTTCGCTAGTTCTCAGAAGATGAAGAAAAGTTTGAATAGTTCGGCTGGTGACTTTTTATCCCGAGGGGCCTGAGATCTCTCAATAAAATTAAAATGCACTAGGTAGTAATAGATATAAAAACCTCGAACTTTATAGCATATTTATATCAAACTTTTTACTTCTGTAATCATTATATATCTATCTATATATATATAATTGATAGCATTTAAAAATACCCCAATGAAATTGCTAATCCAGATAATGCCGACAGATATGATCTAAATCATTAAACTGCGGGCAATGTGTGAAACTGTAACTTTTATGTTGTTACCTTCTTGACGAGGGAGGTATCAAGCGAGAGACTACTTGCTTGAGCTCGCAACGGTGAATAAAATTTGACGGCGCTGCAGCCAATTTGAAAAATATATATGAAGTGGATGTGCAAAGACCGGCTTTTGGGGGGAAAAGGGAGATTTCTTTTATCAATAAAGATTTGTGAACTCCTAAAAGCAAAAAAAAGCAAGGCGGTATCAATTTCGGTCCCTCTGCCGAAAGGGCGTGACAGCGTTGCTGCCATGTGGCCACGGCAAAGAAATCTCAGTGGATTTATCAACACCCAAGCCTAGCGGTGTATAGCGGAAATTTGCATAGCAGGATTTTTATGATCGGAGAATAAAAAGGACCTGATAACGACCAATGTTCTAGAATATGCAATCTACTTACCACACTGTGACACTGCACGGGAATCTTATACTTTCAGAAGGACGTTTTCCTGTTGGAGAATGGTCTGCTTCGGCCCTCATTTCTCTGATTGGAAATCCCGAAGTTATGGTCAGCCATGTAGTACGATTGGGCAGTGGTGGATCCTACAGGAGATGAGAAATAAGTCTGATAGTGGAGTGCTGGATCAGTAGCGGCACTGTGGATGATAACG